TTCTTCCACAAACTTCAGGTATTCCCTGGCACTTTCTGTTTGTGGAATAGTACTCTTAATATTATTGGCAATATTCATTCGCATAAACATAAGGCTTAGCCTGTTAGAGCGTTCCCATGCTTTATGGAAATATTTCTCATCCGCACTACTCGAATCAGTAATGGTACTGGTCTTATCATTCAGCAGAGTCAAGTCAAGATCCATCACACCTAAGTGGAATTGGACTTGTTCACGTTCAATCTGTTGAACACAGTAACAGACGAAGCAAGCGAATGAAAAGGAATAGCTGCAAAATAGATAATACATGCTCACAAATCAATATGGATTCAACAAAACAGTTAAAGCATATCGCAATTCTCCTTTGGGTAAATACTACGACACACTATCATAATTTAAATGCCATTTAGTCTTTAATAGGTAATTAAATATTTTTAACCAAATATATATGCCATTTTTGGACAAACAATATATATTTAACTAAAAATATTAATTTACCTCATCATATCACTATTCATAGAATAATTGATTTACCTTTGGGTAAATCCTTAAGTTCTAGCAATAATGAAATTTAATTTATCCATTTATTTTCAACTATAGGCATTTCATTAATTTCATTGATAAACTATAATTTTATGTATGCATATTTTTATTTTTATTTTTATAAACATACTAGTTGGCCACTTTGGCGACTAACAAACTATATAAACATAAATGCACACATAAAATAAGCATCGGGAAATTTTATGCATGTGAATATATTAAACAATCTAGTTTGATCACTTTGGTGACGAACAAACTATGTGAGCATCAAGACATGCATAAAATATAAATATTATGTATGTGTATGTTTTAAACATTTTAGTTTGATTACTTTGATGACTAACAAACTATATAAGCATAATCACATAGATGAAATAAAAATAATAATAAATGGGTTTACTAACTTAATTGCCCAAATACTTTAAACAGAACCTAAACAAATTGCTTTATAGCCAAGTAAAACAATAACGAGTTTAATTCTAATAACTCATGTCATAATTAACTTAAAAATCTTTCATAATAGGCTTAAAACGGTGGGGCAAAAAATCTGTATAACATCTACCGAAAACTTAAACATAAACATGTATCAAACTTTAAATAGCTACTAAATCAAGATCATTACTACATTGATAATATTGTGGAGTAATTAGTTCCACAATTTGGACATCAATTGCCACGGTTATAAGGCAGGCGCAAAACCAAATAGCCGCCCAAAACGTAACTAATAGATCTTCTGTCGCGTTCGATCATTCTCAAATTAAAAGAATCAGATTCAAAATATTACAATCCCATTAGAACAGTACGCATCAACATAATGATATAGTCTTTCTTTTACGAAAATTATCAGTTCAAATATTCATGCTCATGATCCCACATGTAAACATAAACTTTAATTCTTACCAGGATCTTGAACATGATAATTTTACATAAAATTGTTACAAAAAACATATCTGAAGCGGAATCCATTATCTTGAAGCGGAAGCGTTAATCGGTAATCGGTTTCTCGCCCCTTGCCCTAACTTTACATTACCGCCGACTTTAGTGATGGAAGAGAGAATAAAAATACGGTAACCCTAATGAGTGGGGAGAGGACCAATTTATAGAGGTTCTCATTTAATCTGGTACATCCATCAAATAACCGATCGGACGGATAAGATTTGATCATTAATTAAATATTAATTATGAGTCTTAAACCTATTGGGCCACCAATAAATTATTCTAGGAAAATCTTGCAATTGTCACGAGAGTATCAGTAGGGCAATGCAGCATGTGACAAATGTTATTCTATAGTACTGACTATTTATAAGAATAAGTAAACAAGTCCTAGAAAATGCAAATGAAATTGACACATCAATCAATTTTCATAGACTCATAAAAGTAGCAAACAAGTTGCATGGGATTCCCTAGTAGAACCAACTTGATTATGTGTAGATAGCCTGAATATTTCGTTTCTTCTTAGAGACCCTACGTGTTTATGCAATGCAAATAGGGGTGAAGCTAGGGACGCGTGATGACTCTATCGATGAAAAATTACATTGTATATATAAGATTAATTTTTTACGTGTGTATATATATATATATATTAAATTTCCTTGACTTTTGTTTATTTTTTTTGAATTTCCTTAGTAAAAATTATGCTTCCGCACTGTATATACGCAGATGCCATAAGATAGCACCTATAGAAGTTGGAATTTGGACTGTTGGACCCCTCCCTCTTTAATTTGCCTTTTCTGGCTTTAACTTTGTACAATTGGTGCCGACATGCGTATGGACAAGCCTCTCTCATCGTGATGAGACAAGTATTGAAGATTCTGCTTTTGAATGAGAGCTTCAACTCAGTTAGCTGAATTTGGCATGGGAAAATTCGTCCTCTTTTAAAAACTGGATTATTAGAATAAAATAAAATAATCACCTAAGTAAAATTTTCTTTTTCGCCTTTTGATATATGAGGAAGAAATTTGTGTACAATCACCCTTTGACTTCATATACCACTCGTTCGACTTATTAGTGTTTGGTGATGACAGACACGAACAGTGTCACATATAACAAAAAGAGAATACTGTGAACAGAGAAATGCTCACTCCACTCTCAAAAGGCATCACAATATTCATCATAAACTAAGTACAACGAGGGAAAGTTATACTATTATTTTTACTAGGGTTAAATGAGGGCCAATTATTACCCAAAATGTACTAAATTATTAGCAAGCTTCCAAATCTAAGATGGCTGAAGTAGTTAGTAGTTACGACTTACGAGATTATCAATGACTTAAAGCATACATAGATTATCAATGACGAGTTCCTCTTGAGGTTCTATTAGTATAGGTGCCTATGTTGATTGTATTAGAAGGTGATTTATCAATATTTATGTCTTGCTTTTTATATTACGCGCGCTTTCCGACTTCAATTCTTGTTCTACCAATTTGGTTGTCATCAACACCCCATTGTAGTTCAAGTCTCATGTTTAATCAGGGGTAAATCAAATTTGTTTGGTACTTATGCAAGCAAAATGTTTAGAAGACGAAATAAATAACAGTTTCAAAAATTGCCGCCAAGCACTTGCTAGCTTTTTATTAGGGATGGCAGTGGTGCAGTTGCAGGGCGGGTTTGGCTCTACCCGCAAAAGGTTCAACCCCCCGCCCCGCATGGCATTATTTTTCAGTATTTTCAACCCACCCCGTCCTGCACCGCATAATCTTTTGCCCTCCTTTTTTCTACTTTGCTATTTATATATTCATAAATTTAAATATAAATAAAAACTTTAAATCATTATTTTTTGTTGGTACGTACCTAATTTCAAATGGCAATTTTACTGTGTTCTTGAATACTGCTCATTCATATTTCAAGGTATTTATAAAAAAACAAAAAAAAGTTCTTAAAACTATCTAAAGTCCAAACTCTTTGCATTAAGTAGTAAAAGACCCAGTAGAAGTAAAATGAAAAGTACCTCTTCCATTTTCCCAACCAAAAAGAAAAGAAATCTAGTATCAATGGTCCATTTTCTTGTGCTGACCAACTAATAATTATGTGGTATCACTAAAGTTGTATGCTTAAATTTCAGAAAATTCAAGTTGCAGTTTATAGTGACGAAAGGAAGCAATCTATGACAACGGAATGAATAACAAAAGTGAATAAGGGAGAACTTGAAATTTGGTGATTGATTCTTCTGGCAGTAGTTTATGTTATTTTAATCCAAAATTTTCTTGGTGTATTAAACTATATCAATATGAAGAAAAAGATTAATTTTTTATTTAAGTCACGCGCAAACAGATGTTCAAATTCAAAAGCATTCAGATGAACCATGACATTACACCTAGTATCTAATCACAAGCCCGCAAAAGCTTAATACATAAACCAACCCGCAACCCGCCCCGCATAAATGTAAACTCACACCCCCTGTACCCACACCGCCTCATTGCCATCCCTACTTTTTATCCCAGACAGTTTATCCGTATTGTCAGATTTAGGAAATTCTGAAATTTTAATATTCTGTAATATATCGTTTGGCCAGATTAAAAAAAATGCCTTACTAAAGCTTTTAAAGTAAGTGTGGGGTCTGATACTGCTCAATTTTCCTGGAAAGGGTCTGGGCTGAAACCCTGGTATATGGGGCAAAGTGGTCTCTAATGCTCAATTTTCCCTTTTGTACTGACGAAGTTCATTTTATTCACATTCTGACAACTTGGAGAATCACTGGAAACATAGTCTTGGCAAAAGATGCCAGTATGTCAACTGAAAAAACATATGCAATCGAAGAATGCGACAAGTGAGCACAATCATATATATTTGTACTACTAAAGAAACACTTCACAATATCAATGAAAACCGAAAAGAACTAACTGGTTCAACAGAAAAACATTGTATTTGAGAACTAATGGTGCCCATCACATTGGGTTTTACTTGAGACCACATGTGCATCTCTACAACGAGCATGAACGCACCTTTCAATCTCTTCATCAAACAGCCAGTTCAACAATGCATTTTACTCCTTGATAACTGCTCAACACACGATAATCAATCAACCTGAACTTGCTGCTAGAACACCGCGGCATGACAAGAAGCAGCTCCTGAAACATTTTATTTACAGACTACTTCAGTAAGTAAAATCATGACCTGGGCTATCAGAATGCATATCCATGGACGCATCAGCTGAGTTACTGCTATTGGACTCCCTATTTTGCTGCTGGACATTCGTTTCGTTGTTTCTTGCTCCATTTGAAGGCTGCACGTTGTTTAAAAGGAAACCTCCTTGAGCAATTTGATAGTTCTGCAGGCTTCGTCGAACAGGGCTTGAAAGTGCATTTGAGAAAACATAATTCTTCGATTGCAGATCATGATCTGATCGTACGCCATGTCCTGGAGCTGCTACACCAATTGAGCCCGAAGAGACTGGAAAGGCTGAATTTGCGAAATGCATTGGTTGAGAGTGCTGGTTCTGCGGCAGTCTAGGCGAAATTGAATGGTCCTCTCCACTATAGTCCAGTTCCGACTGACAAGATCAGTAAATGCAGTTTTAGACGCATAAAACATAGATCAAATGTCAAAAAATAATTAAAGGGTGGTGTAGGATTATTATGATCAATCATTTAATGAAGAAAGCAACAATAAAAGGACAAAAAAGGGTGAACTAAGGATAAAACATTTTGCAACCTCCACATAATTTTCAATTCTGTATCAGCATAGTATGAAAATAGCTTCTGCACAAAATACAGGAAAACTATCATCTTCACAGGTTGACCCCTTCGATGGCCAATTTCTCAGCCAAGGCATTTCTAACCATGGCAAAAGCATAGTTCATCCCAGTTTTACTCTATACAATCCGATAACAAACAGGCCGACAAAGTGAAATTCAATTAGGGTATTATTTTTCCATTATAACAAGGAACCAGAGGTGCATGATCTTACGAATTGCTTGCAAAAAGATTTTAATAACACTATAGAAGAACCATCATCTTTTCAGTATCTGATTAGAGTTTGTTCCACATTCAAATAAGACATGCACATATAATCCTCACAATATAGCTAGTAAACGGAGAGAACTAGATGGAAGTATCTCAAAGAGAACGAGGAGCACGGAACACCATCACAATATAGCTGAAAAGACGCTCATTTCTCTTGAAAACCAAATGATCACAATGAACATGTTATAGAAGAAATGAAATCATAAGCTAAAACTGACACTTCAAGATCTATAATCCAGCAAATCACCTTTTTGACAACCATAATCTAGCAAAGACCTTATCTCAAAAAAGCATTTCTTTGAAGTTAATTGGTTCAATAGACTGTAACATGAGCATCACATGCAGAGCACATTCAAGCCCATTCAAAATTTTACAAAATTCTTGATAACACAAGTATATAAATCAAAACCGAAGAAAATCAGATTTAATAATAAGTAGCTTCTTATCGCTGTCTCAAATCTTCTCCAGGCCCAAATTTCCATGTCATATCAAATTCTACATGACCAGAAATCAGTAGGCTGATCTACTACAAACATATCAGTAGCACACCTATATTTCATTCCTTGAGAAATTTCATGATAGCAAGGATGGTGCTATCCAGCAAGGATGTATCATCCATTAACGTAAAATAATACAATTTTTTTTGCTTCCAAGGCTTTGGTCTAGTGGTAAACCCGCAGCACATGATGTGTGGGTCAGACGCAAGTCATAGATTCGAGCCTAGTATTTAAGTGGAGAAGGGTAGAGAAGGGTTCCGCTATTGACCAAGGTTCGAACCGTGCGTCACTGGCCCTTGGAGAGTACTTGATTATCGGAAAAAAAGATACAAATTTTTCACATAACCACAGTGAACGTGAAATATTCTTCACAGATTCATCTCCTAGTCGTTAACCAATTAGGATGACTTAGCCCTATGCAAATTTTATGAGAAAGTTCAGATAAGAAGTAAACTGCAAACATGCTGAGCTGATCAAACAGCAGGTCGAGAGCTGCTGAAACCATCTGAAGTCCTATATCTCCATTCTCATGTTTTTCTCCGACCTGGGATAATTTATGCACCCTCAAACCTTATTCGTATAAGTGAGGTTGCTCTAAATAAACGTTAAGTGTGCGTTTCTACTTTATTTTATTTTTTTGGGGGGGTGGATAATTTATAAAGCCTTAAGGGTTTTGCACTAGGCTGGTGCCAAAATGGAAGGAGAGCAGCAATTAGATGAAAAACTTAGCACCTAATCTACAGAGAAATACAACACTACACCAAAACAAGCAAAGTAAATAAAACCATCTTGAGACCTTGCATACCCTTACTACCATTGACTCCCCATTGGTTCCACTTTCCTCTATCAAATCATCTCACTCCTTTCCTCCTACTCAAAATGTTCTCTTCTTCTTTTTTGGCAAGAGCATAGTTCATGATGTGTGGGTTAGCCGCGCGTCGCGGTTTCGAACCAACCCGCACGTCAACGGTTCGAACCTTGCCATAGACAAAACTTGGTATTTAAGTAGTAGAAAGGCAGGCACATTATCCACCGAGTTACGAATCGTGAGCCACAGTCCTCGGTAGAACTCCAAAACACAAAAGGTATTCTCAATTGATAATGCACAATAGTACAAACATAGTGTTGATTATTGTTTCGTGGGTTCATAACGAGGAATTTTGAATAAGATTTGAGAAGAACTATAGTAGAAGAGCGCAATTAGGACGCAAATCATGTTATATGCTCTACTAGCTGGTAGGTAACTGAATTGTGTATGAAAGGGTAAGTCGGAAGCTTTCCAAATGAATCTATTATTACTTTTAGTGAAGAAAAATAGATCACCTAGATAAGGTGGGAGCATAAAAGATAAAACTTTCATAAAAAACTCTGAAAAGGAGAATAGCTCAGCGGCACCACCAGAGTGAGCAATAGTAAAGTAAAGGTGTTTACTGATAGTGGGCAGTGAGTCACCAGATTGGCAGATTCTATGAACTGAGCGGTTTGTCAGCCAAATGAACGTTCAGGTCAGATTGTAACTTTTTTTTTCTTATAAGGAGGCCAGTTTGTATCTCTTTCTATTTCATCAAGATCTTTTTTCTCTTTTCTTATTCTAATCCAAGAAAGATCAGTTTCCGAGTCTCCCCACTTTCAATGGAAAAGGAATGAATTTCCACAATAGGACCCTGAGCACAAAAGATATCGCTGGACTAAAACATCTCAAACATCTAGATTTCATGATCATACTGCTCCGTGTTTATTGAACAAAGTTCTCACGAGCTATTTCCTGAGCAGATAAAGATCTCCACAGATAGACATGAAAGGAAATCAACTAAAAGGTAGGCACAAAACTGAGACAGATAGAAAAAGAACCTGCAGGTAGTTCATTATGTCAGCAATTGTCACTCTGGATCCTCCCTCTTGTTGTCTCAAGATCGATTGATACAGTTTCTCCTATAAAGATGTATCAGGTCAAAATCAAATGTCATGATTCATTCGAAACCAAATCCCCACAACACAAGATCATTCACTTTAAAACACAACAAAGAAAAATGTCAAACATTAAAAAACATCAGGAAACCTTAATAAACACATGGCATAATCAAAGCCTAGAAACGAGATGTACTTGCACATTCCTAGCTAGATTAAAGGCATAACTACATAGTTCAGTTTGGAGATAATTATCAGTTATCACCAAGTCCAATCTGCAACCAAAATAGAACTGAGTGATTAAGACTTTGAATCCTAAGTTCCTAACTTTCTTTACGCATACATTTGAGAACAGAAAACCAAAAAATATTGTGAACAAAGGGAAACCCACGTAACATTTGTACAGATAAGCAAGAAACAAAATGATGAATTACCTTTCTCTGACCTATTCTTTACTGATCAAGTGCATCATTATGGGAGACAAAAGTCTTGTCTAAATCAATGTATGTAATTTCTTCCAGAGCTGCTATTCAATTTTGTTTATCTGTTCTCCTAGTAGGTCAACTAGGGTCAAAAATGCTATTCAACCCATACAGATTTTCAAACAGAATTTGTGATGACTATATTTCTTTGGCAACAATCAAGTTCAATCTCTTAACTGAAATAAAGCTCAGTCCAGAGGGTGGGCTAGCACGGAGATCTGCTTGCAAGGAGCTACAAAGCATCTTTTTATATTCGCAGTTTTTGCCCCTTTCTTCTTTCTTCTTCTAACACTCTTTACTCGGTACATTATTTCTTTCCACACTACCCTCTCCAGGGAGCTAAAGCTTCCTTAAGAATTTAGGGTCGTTTGGTTGGAGGTACTAAGAAAATCAGCTCAGCATAAGATTCAGCAATCAGCATAAAATAATACAGTGGTTGATTTGGAGGATTAGAAAAAAATAATCCTCACATAACTTATGCAACGTTTGGTTGACCGTACAAGGAAAAAAAAGATACCTGCATAACTTAATGCAACAGTTGGTAGCCGGGATTAAATAATTCGCACTATATTATGTAGAAACTTATGTATTAATTTATGTGGGATAATGTGGAATATGAAAACGTGTAATAGACATAGATTAACAATTTTGAAGACAAAAATGCCTTTAAAGTAGGCAATACTTACATAATAATTTATACAGTACTGCATAACAATCCTTATAATATTAGTCACTGTATAACAATCCCTTGTTATTATTCACCGGATAAACAATCCCTGAATCATAAGCCCAACATAACTAGAATGTGAACCAAATGAACCCTCGGGGATTTTACAAAGTTTTTTCATTTATCTCCCATCACCCATTACTTGGTGCCTTCAACAAACAACCATTCTTTATCCATCTTTAACCGTTCTTCTTTCCGTATTACCTTCTATTCTCTGTCCTTGGAAGATCTTAACGATAACTCCTTTTGCCCTATCTTCCCGGGGATACCAGCTAAGTGCATCCTTTTTTGAGAAAGGAAGGGGATAGAATGGTAAAACTAAGTCATCCTTTTTTGAGTAAGAGTTTTTTTAAAGTAAGACCAGCAAAGTGCCTCCTATGCATGTGAAGCCTCACATACTCCTCCAACTTCTCTAAACCTTAACCTCTTTCAGCACAAAGCATGCCTTTCATCTATATCAACCAATCACGGCTCCTTTCCTTCTAATGCAGTTTTTTTCTCAACTACCTATCCAAAAGCTATTGATGACACTGTTTATATTCTCCTTATTTGCAACAAAACCCTCTTATTTCATGCTACCGATAAGGATTGCCGTATAACCTTAGCGTTTAGGGCTTTGCCCAACTTCACTCTTCTAATCTCCTATCAAGGCCTTCCGTAATCCACTCTCTGTTTTCCTCTTACCTTTACCCTCTACCTTTGCTTCTTAGATACTTCTATTTGGTTCTTCTTCTTTTTTTCTTTTCTTTGTGATAAGGATATTTGGTTCATCTCTAGCCATTTCTTTCAAGAGAACTTTCCAACTTAGCGCCTACTGATTCATGCTTTCCACTTCCATATCCTCCCCTGTATTCTCTAAAGACTCTAAGGGCTTGTTTGGTATGAGGGATAAGGGAGATTAATTTGAGATGAGTTTATCCCATGTTTGGTTGGGATAAAATCGTGGTATAACTAATCCCGGGATTGTAGTGATTTTTTATCCCAATGGAAGAGCGGGATAACTAATCCCAGGATTAACTAATCACGGGATAATTAATCATGGGATAACTTGTTTCCCAACCAAACGATCCCTAAAGCCTCTGCTTGTTTGTGCACAAAATATACCTCCTTCACATACATCAATCTCATAATGCTTTCTTTCCTTCTACTTTCCGCCTATCCAACTACCTGCTACTCTTTGCCTATCCAACCCACTATTGCCTTCTACATTCTTTCTCTCTGGTTGGTTCATCTTTTCAACTTTCTATCAATCTATTATTTTGAATAGATTATTTTCATTGTTTGCGTCAACCAATCAATCTCTTACAGGCAAAGTCAATCCCATACAACCTTCAGCATCTGGGGCTTTTCTAACATTCCTCTTACATCTCCTATCACCTATCAGTGTCTTCAACAAGAAGTTATCCTCACATGCAGGAGTAGTCACCTTTCTTTTCCTTATTACCTAAAATTTCTGCCTTTGCTTCCTATTATTGTCCAAAAAATAACAAATATCTAAATGCGACCAAAAGTCATTAGTTATCATCGAGAAACGAGGCTATTAGTGCAAAACTTTTACATGATAGTTGTCTAGTTGAGCTTATCCAGTTAACCATTCTGATACAACAACTGCAAACGGCAATCAAGCTCCCACTAAGAAGAGCAGAGGCACCGAAAACAACTATGCAAAGAACTTGGCCCCATCATTCATACCATTCATAAGGCTATCCACATATTAGGAAGCATTCAAAACAAAACATTTAGAGCTGAACCATCCCAGATACAAACCAGTTCACTTCTTTTAAACACCAGAATGAAGAGAAACCGAGTCCCTCCTAGGTTATTATTCACTTTTTAATGGTATATCCAAACAACGTTATGTAGTTAACTGAAATGTACATTTCTCGACAACTGAGGTGCCCTGGGATTCTGGTTCAGAGTTAAGTATACAACGGAGGATATGTGGATAGGGTTTGGTATTGAGGTTTACCGTATAAAAAAAATTAAAATGTATAAATTCTCTACATTAAAATCTCAAGCCTAAAAAATACACAAAAAACAACAAATTCTTAATATCAGCATTTACCAAACAAGTCTTTGCTACTTGTGCTTTTACTTAATTAATCAACCGTAAATGTAAATGGCTATAAAAACAAAAACAAAAACAGATATTTAACAATAAATAATTAATTGAAAATAAGGAAATAAATACCAAGCCGTGGCGTTCACCCGCCTGAAAGGAAAGCTTCTGTTGGTTCATAGCCTGAGTATAAAGCTGTGAAAGCGAATTCGCTCCGCTACAAAACGTCGAATACATGCTTCGATCCACCTCATCCAGCTTCGATGCCAATGACTTCCGCTTCTTCCCCATCTTAACACGACACCGTTTTCCACGTGACTCTGCGTCTTCTCTCTCTCTATAATTTATTAGTCATTCGGTCCTTTCGTATCCTTGTGTGAATCGATGAATCTCCGTCGATCGGACGGCGACTACGAGCGGCGGATGGAGGAGGCGTGAGGGATTGAAAGTACTTTGAAAACTGTAATTGGAAGCTAATGTATAGCTTTCTTATAACAGCTGCTACCTCATGTTTGTTTGTTTGTTTGTTCCATTTGTGAAAGGGAGAGGGTGCATGGTAAGTTATCTTGTGCTGGCACGTACCTTTTTAATATCCACGTGGGAATGGGGTTATATTTTCGTGCCAATTGGGCTATTTGCAGTCGTGCCTTGTATTTTTGTCGCCTTTTAACCTATACCTTATTTTTAAAAATTATTGATTTCGTAACAAACTAACAAAAAATTCATATAATATGACCATTATACCCCTTCTAAAACATATAAAAGATGCATCAAGCATACCCAGATTCAAATTCCAGATCTCCTCCGTATCTCCTCCATCACTCCGTCTCTTCTCAAATCGCCTCTCGCAAATTAGATTTGAACCAGATTCAAATTTCAAATTGAAAATTACAAAATACATTGTAAGTATTCAAATTCATCTTCAGAATTCAAAATAGTTTTTGAATTATATATTTTTTGATTGATTGATTGAAGTTGTTTGACAAACTTCACTAATATGCTGAATTTGCATTCTAAATCTGTTTGACGTTGAATTCTAATATTCTAATCCGACAAATATGTTGAAGTTTTCCACTGCATAATATGCTAAAAATTTTGGTTTATTTGCTAAACAAGCTGAAGTTATATAGTTCATATTTAAAAAATTTAGCAAAATGAACTGGCAAATAATACAACATTATATTAAAACATTATATGAGTGTTATCATTGTTTATATGCTAAACAAGCTGAAGTTATTGACTTAATCTTTAAAAACTTCAGCAATATGAGCTGAAGTTTTCCTCCTACACTGGCTAAAAAAAATAAAACATAAATTAAAATTACATATTGCACAAAAAACTTCAGCATAGGTGTTGAAGTTTTTTAGTTAAATATTTAAAAACTTCAGCAAGAAGAGCGGAAGTTTTCCTCCTACACTTGGTAAAAAAAAATAAAACATAAATTAAAATTAAATATCGCACAAAAAACTTCAGCATAGGTGCTGAAGTTTTTTAGTTAATCTTTAAAAACTTCATCAAGAAGAGCTGAAGTTTTCCTCCTACACTTGGTAAAAAATAAAACATAAATTAAGATTTCATATTGCACAAAAACTTTAGCACTTTGGTTAATCTGTAAAAACTTCAGCAAATGGAGCTGAAGTTTTCCTCCTGCACTGTGTATTTTATTATGATTTTTTACAAAAACTTCATACCAAAAAATGCTTAATTTTCGGATTAGTTTTTGTTAATTCCTGCTGAAGTTATTTAGTTCATATCCTCTATTATTTTTCGAGTTTGAATAGAATTAATATTAAAAAAAATATACAAAAAACTTAAAACAAAAACTGAATATTTCATTAAACATTAAAAAACATAAATTAAATTACATAAATAACAAAATAACATTATAATCCTTTAACTAAAAGGATTATAGAAAAAAAAACTAATCGTCCATGTCATCATCATCATCGTCGTCACTACCAGATGGACGAGCATCTTCATCAGATTATCAAATCTTGCAAACATCACAAGCGTATCAAGCTTGTTGTTGATTTTTTGCTGCTTCCTATCGTACTTTTCTATGACCTCATCAAGCTTCAACTCAAATACCTCAATGATGTCTTGCTTGATTTCGTCCACTATTTTCCTGATGACAGCATCCATTTTTCTCCTTTTTGTATTTTATGTCTGCTAAAATATATGTGTTTGAGTGAATAAACTCACAAGGTATAGCGTCCTTATATAGGCGAAAAAAACTTCTGCATGGTATATAAAAAGGCAAAGAGGAATTTTAAACGTTGTCTAATGAAGAGCGTGCATGAATGTGATAGGAAAGTAATTATTACACTAACACATACGCCCAACGCAATATAATTACTACTTTAATTGTGGTTGTTATGTTTACTCCTGTAACCTATGCAATTAATGCTGAAACATGCTCAAATTTGTTGAATTCATTTGCTAAAACTTCAGCCCAATGTACTGAAGTTATTTAGTTCATTTCTAAAGCTTCAGCACTTAATGAGCTGAAGTTTTTTTCCCCGGATTCATGAATCCTTGTCATACTGCTTTTTCATAAAAACTTCAGCTGATATGCTGAAGTTATTTAGTTTATTTCTAAAAACTTCAGCACTTAAAAAGCTGAAGTTTTCTGTGCAAGATTCATTAATTATGTCATACATCTTTTTTCAAAAAACTTCAGCAGAAGATGCTTAAGTGATTTAGTTCATTTGTAAAACCTTTAGCACAAACAACCTAAAAATTCTTCTATTCACTTTCCTAATACTTGCCACTAAACATGAATCAGCAGGATGAGTTCAATTTGCGTTGTTATAACTTTTAATGGGAGGTGGACTCCTGATTTCAAATACTTGGATCATGATACAAAACTTGTTCTACTTAATAAGCACATATCATTCAATACTTTCCTGAAGAAAATTAGTGAAGTTGCAAATATTGATTCAACCAGATATTCACTAAAAGTATGGTTTGATATCAAACTAAATACAAGCAAAGGAATGCTTGTAACTTCAGATGAAGAACTCAGTACCTGTATACATTTGCTTACAACTAATTCAGCCTACAAGAATTGCCATTTCGTCATCGAAAAAATACAACCTTCTGAATCTGCAGCATTCAAACAATCTCTTGCATATGCGATAGATTCAGAACCTTTTGTTGATTATCAACATGAAGTAGGACAACCAATAATGGAAGTAGACAACGAGCAACAACCTTCTAACATTACAGCGGCTTCAGAATATATAATGCTGCAATAATTACCCGCTCCTTCAATAAATTCATACCAGTTTGTCGATGACCAAGAAGAAGAAGGACAGCTAATAATGAAAATTGACAACCAACACACAATCCAACAAAGTTTTTTGTTACCTTCTTCAATGATAAGCAACAACGAAGATGAAGTAAACATGGAGCTTATACCGATAACATCAGATACAATTGAAGAAATTGTTGAAACTTCTAGTGCTTCTCAGAAATCAAGAAAAAGAGTGAGAAGAAAGCTGAAAGAATCTCCACCATGTAAAATACTTAGGCACGATGCGTTGCCTGAGGAAGTAAGAGTCGGATCAATTTTTGAGAACAAACAAAGCATGACTAAATTTTTCTGCAGCTTGGAGATAAACTAGAAAGTTGAATTCACTACTGTTAAATCATGTTCAAAGATATACGAGCTGAAATGCATCGTGGACAAATGTGGTTGGAATGTACGTGCTACCGGAAAAAAAAATTCCATACTATTCAGGGTGATAAAATATCATAACAACCATGAATGCTCGGTTGATGCAAGAAAATCAGATCAGAAGCATGCTACATCAAATTTTATAAGTGAACAAATTATAGAACATGTTCGAGACAAAAAGATAGAGGTTACACCAGCCTTTGTAGAAAACGAAATAAAAAAGAAATTTGGGATTGACATTGGTTATCACAAGACATGGCGCGTTATTCAAAAAGTTGTTGCTTGCATAAGGGGAACACCCGAAGAGAACTACCATATTCTTCCTTCATACCTGCACATGATGGTGCGCAAAAAACCAGGAACATACACGAGCATAAAAAAAGATGGGCAGAATAGGTAAGCAAAGCAATACTAACCATCAGCCTGAAGTTTCAAATGTTCCTATTTGAAAAACTTCACACCTTATGATTTAATTTTTTGTGTTTCACTGTACAGATTTGCTTACATATTCTTTGCTCCTGCGGCATCAGTAGCTGGTTGGTCCTACTGTAGACCCGTTATTGCAGTAGACGCAACGTTTTTAAAGTCAAAATATCGTGGTGTTCTATTTGTTGTTGTATCAAAGGATGCAAACAATCAAATCTTTCCTCTATATTTTGGTGTAGCAGATTCAGAAAACAACGAGGCATACATTTGGTTCTTCGGGGAAATGAGAAAAGCAATTCAAGTCCGTCGTGAACTGGTTTTCTTGTCAGATAGAAACCAATCGATCGCAAATGTGATTAGAAAAGTTTTTCCTGAAGCTCACCATGGTATCTGCCTTTATCACTTTGAGAAAAATTTAAAGCAAAGACATGCAAAAGCCACGGTAATAAATCTATTTCAAAGTGTTGCAAGGTCATACAAACGTGAAGATTTTAATCAGTTAATGTCCCAACTCAAAAGTGTTGACAAGAAAACATACAATTACATAATGGAAGAGCCTCCATAGAGATGGGCTCGATCGTGGTTCCCACGACGACGTTATGATATGCTAACAACAAACATGGTAGAATCAATGAATTCTGTTTTACTAAAAGGGAGAGAAATGCATATTTTAAGAATGTTAGATTTCATCCAAGAAAAGTTGGGAGAGTGGTTTTACGAATGGAGAAAAAAGGCAAATGAAACTTTTCACAGAGTATCAATATGGGCATAAGAAGAGATGACTAAGAAGATGGACTTGGCTTGCAAAATGTTTGTGAGTATATTTATTAACTTCGATTTTTTATATCTGTTGCAGTGATTTACTGCTTACATTAAAAAAACTTCATACTTTTTCTTTTTGCAGCAATAATACACTAATATAGTTTATCTTAATTTTGTATTCCTTGTTAGGTGTTCAACCTTGATTCAATGTTGTTTAGAATAAATAGTGAAGGAATCGAATTCATTGTGGACTTAAAGAAGAGAACTTGCGACTGCCTGGAATTCCAACTTGATGAATTGCCCTGTCCACATGCAATTGCTGCTATTAATAAGAGATATTTGTAGAAATCTAATTACCGCTCAAATTGGTATTCAAAAGAAACATGGTTGAAAATATATGAAGGACATGTGAATACTGTGGGAGATCAAAAATCATGGAATATACCACAAAATGTACAATCTGAGATCACAAAACCTCCCGATGTAGAGATTTTACAAGGAAGAAGACAAAAGAAGAGGCATATCCCTGCGACTGAATCAGTACCATTGAAGTCTACCAAATGCAGTCGATGTAAACAAGTTGGGCATAACAGAACAACTTGCTTGTCTTCCCCAGCACCTCATCCATATTCCAAGAAACACACTGGAAAATACTCCACCCT